ACAGTTCCTATACCTGACAATGGAGGTGCGTGTCTGGCCTAAGGGTGAGCAGCTGAAAATGACAGGTTCCCATGTGCCGAGCAGCATGTCCGCTTCACTGAGGGACAACTTTCAGTGCCCATTGCTTGCAGTTGCATTGTCAGCAACGCTAACTAGCAGAGCAAGAACTAGTGAATGCAGCAAGAGGTTATCATGGAATAATGTGCATTATGAATGTAACAGTACTATGATTTCAACATACTTTTCATTTAACTACAGTTGACGTTACAGCTTTGTGTAGTTTCTGTTTAATTGCAATTTACATTACAATTACTTGCTTATAAAAAATAATACCAGGTTGCACTTTTGGCCTTTAGCAATGCATGCTGCTTCATAACAATGGTTTGGGGCATCACTGTCTTGTCTGAACCATCAGACATTGTGGCTGTGCTGCAGAGTTGATAATTCCTCCTTCTTGCACGATCTCATACATCTTTAACTTAGCAGATTCATATTTTTTCTGAATTCAGCCATTCAGCAGCTGCGCAGAGGCAGTTTGCAACATCAGTTCTGTTTAATGTAGCCAAACAAGATTAATCACGGACACAAATGAAGACATTATGCATTACTTTACATATTTACCATATGTACCATACATATTTCATGTCTTATTATATAGCATCATCCAGCATATTGTCAGGCATAAATAACAGGTGCATATTGTCCTTGATACATCAGTGATTCTCATTTGAGTTGCAATGTGAACGCTTTTGATTTTGTCTCTGTTTCAAGGACACATGTTCACATAGTGATATGTTGGACACGCTAGCTAATATTATGGTGTGTTTACCCACTTAAGGGATGTTAAGACTCTAGTGACAACCTATTATTTATCTTTACAAATATAAATAATGTTTAACTTATACAAGTTGACGGTTTTAGGATGGCGATGGAAGTAATGCGGCTAGGAAAGCCCCTGTGAGTGGGATTATCACACTGCGCCAGTCACTGAATGGTTTAACCCATTTCTCATGGGTGACATCACCATCGAGACAAACCAGGAAATGATTGACAGCGCATGGTAAATCCAGGCCCCCGTGGCCTTCAAAATCTCATTTCTTCTCCCACTACTGCAGAGTTTAGTGATTAGAACAAAGACACGGTTATGTGGTCTGAGGTAATTAACGTGGGCTTCCTGAAGGGCAGCAGGAAGCCCAAGGAGAAGCGTGCAAGCCAGAAGAACGGGGAGGCTCTCCACAAACACAGAGAGGTGAGCAGGTTCACACCACCAGCCCCACATGTGTCAGGGTACAGTGATACCTGCTAAGCCCACACGCACACTGTTCTTTTCCAAATGAATTTTAAAAAAAAAACATACAATTATAGAAAAGTTATCATAAGATCTACCTCAAAATTCAAGAAAATTCTCAAGGTCACCCTCAAATTGCGCCATTTTCACGACATTTTGTTTCTCGCGTTTTCTCTTTACCTGCCTTTATGTACTCCATCCTAAATGGCCTGTTTATGTTTTTGTGTCCTGAGGGGGGGGCGAATTACACCCCAAGAATTACATCTTAAGCCAGTGTACAGCAGCTGTAATTCTAACCCTGAAACTAAAAACTAAATGAAAAAAACATATGAAAATGATTTAGAGTTTAATAGATAATTACTAATATAATTGAAAATCAACAATTCAAAACTCACTGTTCTTGCACTGATCCCATTACAGCCCTGAACCCCGAGTATTTCTTAGCAGTGAAGTACAAGTACTAAATATTTATTTTGCACAAATATTTTTTACAAATATTTGTTTTCGGAAAGCAAAATAAAACAAACGTCAAATAGCTGGTTTTCCTCATAACTCTGAGTGCGCTGCATACTTGTGCTCTGCCTATCTGTGCTGACATTGCAGCTTATAGCACCAGTAATTATTAGTTTTTGGAATTTAGTTTATTGGTATGAGCGTGGATAAGGAACTGAATGTTGTGTTTATAATGATTTTCTGTTCAATGATGTTTATGGTTATACATGTTTATTGTAATAAGTATGAGCACTTAAATGTAGTAAACCCAGCAATAGTTTTTTGAAGAACACGTAAATTAACTGTTTAATATTTGAAAATTGCAGTAAAAGTGCAATAAAAACAAAAGCTACATTATTACACCGATTTCCACTTTTATTTAAATGCTGTACATGTATATAGTACTTATTATTTAGTATTAACTCTTCCAGATACATCTATACCTCCATATACATATTTATATGTACATATTCATATTTACTTATATTAACTTTTCCTAAGTGTTGTCCTAAGTCCTGTTACTAAGTATCCTATGTCTTGTTTTCATCTTTCTGTCTGCAGGAAACACCGCTGGTAGGCAACTCATTGTACTCAGTACTCGGACTTGTACAAATGACAATAAACCTTTTGAATCCTTTGAATCATTAAAATCCTAAAATGGTAGCAATCTATTTCATCATAATGCATCACTGTGTGTTTGCTAGCCCTCATATGCAAATGTGCTTTCCTCTTCAAACCACGATCCTTCCTTCTCTCTATTACAACCCCCTGACAAACTCAGCTGACCAATACTGTTAGCAAACTGACCGGCCAGTGAATGTGACTTTCTCCTCTTTCTATATGCCTATTACAGTGTCAAGAGCAAATAGCATCCAGAGCAACATTTCAGTCGGTCATTTCATCCATTTTGCCACTGCTTCCCCCTCAAACTAACCATACATACAACACCAGGCAAAGAGACTTAATGTTTTTAACTGCAACATGGAGTGGATGGAGTTGGTACCATCATTAACTTAGCTAACAAAGAAGCAGACATATCCAGGCAATTTGTGATGCTTTTCCCTTCTTTCTGCATTATTCTTTCTCTTTTGAAACCTTTCAGGGAATTTATAGCCCTGTAAGTGCCACCTGGTGGCAGCACAACAGCAGGGCGTTTGCTGTACACAAGTGAAGCTGTTTCTGTGAAGCAGAAAACTGCATAAATACAAGTGTAATATATATATATATATATATATATATATATATATATATATATATATATATATATTCTGAAAGGCACCATGGTAATAGTCTGCATTCATCTGGCAGAAAGCAACCCTATATAATAGGCTTCCCGCTGCCTCCATAGTGTATTATTAGATACACAACATTCTTAGTTTTAGAAAAGGACCTGAGAAGGCATATGAACTATATGACATTCTCTGAAAGGAAACATAATTAATATTAAAAATATAACAAGTCATCTATTTCATAACGATGAAACATTTGATGTATTTCATATCTTCACGTATTTATATGAATGTGTGTGTGTGTGTGTGTGTATGTGTGGGTTTGCATAGATCACATTTAAGGACCAAATTGTCCCCAAAGTGTAGTAAAATCTGAAATTTCCCTACTTTTGGAGACATCTTTTGAGGTCCCCACTTGGATAACCTCAGTTACAAAAATCTGTGAATGCAATCAAAAAAGTAAAAATGCCAAAAGTCTTGTATTTGGGTTGGTTACTTATGGTCAAGGTTAGGGATGGGTAGGGGTTAAGGGTGTCGCGATTGGGATTAGGGTTTTTCCCATAGAAATGAATGGACGGTCCCCATTTAGACAGGAAGACCAACTTGTGTGTGTGTGTTTTTGTGTGTATGTGTGTGTTTGAACTTGACTCGAGAAATATCCTTCAAAAACCTGCCTCGTTACTATACCACCATGCCCATATCAATCACCAGCCCTGTTTACCTAAACCCTGATTTTTAATTCAGAATGTTATTTTCACAATTACCACTAGTCTCATTTTGTATTCCTGAATACGCATAAGAATAATGTTCTAATGTTGGGATTGAACAGTAATTACTTGACTCCATTTTCTCTAAATGTAAGTAAATAAATGGATACTCAGTATATTTATTTACTTTTTATCCTGTATTTACAAACTGTACCCTACTCAAACTGTCAGTCATAATTTAATTTGCTGCTGTAACCAATATAACCATTTCTTATTGCTTTGTTCAGCATATGTACCTGATGATTTCATATAACGTCGACGCTCTGTGTTTAAATCGTCCACTAGAGGGAGATAAAGTCATATTAAAGGATATAATTCGCAAAGTATCCGTCTCAAAGCATAGTGGTGTTAATGATGTTGATAGTTTTGTTGTTTTATCATATTTTACGTTTTAAAGTCATTTGCATTTCTTACATAAATTTCTCGTGTTTTATTAACCGTATGGTAGCACAAAACTGACTATTTTTAATCACTTGCATAAAACAATATACAAGAAAGTACAGGTGTGCTAACAAACAAAATAAGGACTGACTAATTAGGACTGATTTCTTTCCACGTGGTGCAACCTAAACTCTCCTCAGATGTTTCATGCACGTAAACACACACGCGCGCATACACATATATAAGACTGCATCATTTACATAAATGTCCTAATAAATGTAAGCCTTGTTGATATGTATTTAAACTTAAAATACAACTATAGCGAAACTTAAACCAAATAAAGTTTACGAATGAAACATAGTTTAACTCATATAGTCCCTACTAGAACAGGCCTATCTGAAAATATATTGGGGATGCAAACAGGATGTAAAAATATGAATGCATATAATTAGCTAAATGCTCATCGTTGACAAACAATGACGAAGTTCGTTGCATAGTAATATAACAATATTACACAAATATGGACTTCAAAAAAAAAACAAAGGCATTATCTGTACATATTTGAGTTTTTGAAAGTAATCGGTTTTAAAAGAGCGACTGCAAAATATTTCCATTTTCCATAAGTACATAGGCCTACTGATCGCCAGTCTGTGTCTTTTAAGTTGTGTAATTGTACTAGATAATAATCTTTTAGTAATTTCGTAGAGTATTAGGCTATATCCAAATATATTTCATGACCACTTTATGGATTTATAAAAACTATAGTAGTATCAATCATTTTTGGGTCATTACAGTACCCTAATTATATCGCCACGGATGCAAAATCTTTAGGTCGTTACTTACGTCTGTTTCTTCCAATCGTCCGATGTTCATAATCGAAAAATCAAGCTCTTCTTCCGTAAAAGCCAATCCAAAAAGGTGACATTTTTCGCAGGTAAAAGAAGTTCACACTATTGTCACTAGAGGGAGATTGTCATTCCCTTTTCCAGCGTTTTTTCCTTGTAAGTGGTATCTTTTTATACCTCATGAGACTGTGACGTGGATGCAAAATACTCCATTTACTGTAAGTTTCTGTTAAACCCTTGGGAGGAGACTGGAGGAAGTTGAACTGCACACCTGTTGAACGATCGGCGTTTATTAATGTAACTAACAGCGACAGAAATATAAAAGTCATACAACCAAAAATTCCCTCATGTGATAATACAACAGAATGCAAGATAATGTGAAACAACAGCCATTCATTTCATTTAATCGAATACACGTTATTCCGTCCATTTTCCTCGTTTGAATATTTTTAATAAGTGAGCTGTGTACACATGTTTTTATTAGATTGCATGTTATATATTGCCAATAATAAGGGCGGTATTTATTTGATGTCACCCAGCTTTGGAAAAAGTGTCCTTTCTAAATTACGGAAATCGTCGCTTTCCGAGGAACTGTTGGCAGTGGTTCTTCTGCAGTAGTTCAAAAGAGAAGGAAAGCATTCTGTGGGTTAGGTTAATGTACCTGCATCCCGTTCGCCAGCGCACACAGGCACGCAGGCGTAGACTCCTCCATTCCCCGTGCGGATTAAAACGCGAATTCATAGTGTCGAGGCTATAGATACAGACCGGCAAGGCGTACCGCTGAAATATCCCAAAGTGCACACGCCAACTCTCATGTATACTTCTCAAACAAAGCCCTAAATTAGCCCAGCTATTTTTGACCAGAACTACCGCAAGAACTTCTAAAATGTTTCACTATTCGACTGCATGGCGTTAACAGCCCCAAAGTTTATATTATGTAATAGATTTACTACGTTAAATAAAAGGCTTGACCTGTGTTTTATGTTTTTTTCAATGCTTTCTATGTTTTCCCGCAAAGCCTCTCTGAATCAAGCATGTATACTTTCATCCATGATTGCTATGTATAGTAATTTCAGAACTGTAATTGCAGTGACGACAGTTATGATCGAGGTTACCCCTGGACGTAGTATACGAAGCTATCTATGCTACAGAATGTGCATTAATTTATATGTGTGTATGATTTATTCTGTTTCAGTTTAAAATTAGCAAGAAACTGTGATCTTAGTATGGCAATGTGTGGATGAAGCGTTTAAGCGTAACCTAAGTCTAACATTATGTCATGAAATGTGTCGAAATTCAAGTTGAAAATGTCGAACTTTGGAGAAGGAAAGGTAGTCAGTTTATTTTTATTAAAATTCTGGCACCAGAAACTATAGAAAATATGGATTTTTTTTAGAAGATATTTTTAAATTGCTATTATCCACCTATATCCTCCAGACCACTTGTCCTAAGTCAGAATCGCACAAATACTATATTTATCATTTTTAATAAAGATACTCTCTCTTTAAGAATACCGTCCATAAAACAATGTTGTTGTTTTTTTTCAAAAAAAGAAAAAAAAGAAAGAACGAACAGCCATACATGATGTAAATTTCAAAACCACAGTCTGCTTCTCAGGGTTTTTATTCTCTATTTGCAGAATTCCTTCCTGTCTAAACGTGTACTTTGTGTCTACTAATTATCCTGTCCACCATACTGATACTAGCCAAGGTCACAAGGTCGCATGTCATGATCTCCACCACACCCTTCACAAATTCTGGTAGCATCTGTCTTAACCCAATCTGCTTATATAAAGAGGAACCTGGTCACGTGGTATTCTTCATTCTAACATTGACTTACTTTTGTTGTTAGGCTCAAATCTCCGAATAATATACAGATATGTTTTTGTACAGAAGGGATCAAAAGAAAACATTTTCATATAGGCTATAGAACGACAATGCTTTGTAGAAAAGCAATGGATGTATTGAACTATTTATCACCTTGTATATTTCACTTTTGTTAGAAGCCTATTTGGATTTAACGTTAATATTATTTTCTAGTAATTAAATTAGGGGTGGGGCGGTGGCGCCTCACACCTCTGAGACTCGGGTTCGAGGCTCCATGTGTCTGGAGTTCACATGCTCGCCCCATGTCGTCGTGGGATTTCCTCCGGTGTTCCTCCATCCTGGGTTGTTCCCCGCCTTGCGCCCGTAGCTTCCGGGATAGGCTCCGTACCCCCGCGATCGTGAATAGGACAAGCGATTCCGGAAAATGGATGGATAATTAAATATCCCATTAACAATAACAATAACAATAATAGTGGTTTATTTCCCCTTTACCTTTCTTTTGGCGCTATTCCAAATTTATTATAAAAGCCACTCATTACTCATAAAATTATACATCCTCGGTGTTACCACATGTGTTGCCAAACAGTAAGGATCATGGATCTGGCTGCATCTTAATGAGTGTCTTATCATTTATTCTTCATCTAGAATTTAGATTATTTGTGAAGAGCTAATCATTGCCACCTAGTGGCTATCCATATGAAGACACTTTGCAGCACTGAATATGTTTAGTGAGCTTTTAATTATACTTTGTACAATGATTATTGAACCCCTCACATGATTTTTTTTTAATTATCACATTATGCTTGTCTATGTCCTGTAAATATAGTGTTGGAAAAACAGACAGGCAGGCAGACACAGACAGACAGATTAGATAGATAGATAGATAGATAGATAGATAGATAGATAGATAGATAGATAGATAGATAGAAATGCTGGTATAAATCAGTTTACACCAACCTCTCTTTGACAGTACAGTTTTATGAAAGGCATGGATTCCAGAGAATGTATCATGTCAGACATATGTAGTGTTAGGTGGGGAGACGTGTGTAGGATTGGCCTTCCTCTTCTAGATGAATGCCTTAGAGAGTTTTGCTGTTGTGTCATACATTCCAAGCTGTAGGTCCAAATTCTATGCCCGTTCTTCTTGTTCATGATGTTGCAGACTCAGGTCCAGATGCCATCCTACCTCCTCTGACCTGCTCTAATTGTGTTTTTGCTTTATGTCAAGTTTTATTTGTTTTTCCTGCACAGCACACTTTTTTGTGTAAAAAAAAAAAAGTGTTTCACTATACAGATTCACAGTGTACGATTGTGTGTGTGACAAATAAAACTTGACACCTCTATAGTGCCCATCCATTGTGTACAGCTGCTTTGTGCCCTATTTTGCCTGAGATGGGCTCCCTGAAACCCAGTATAAAATAAGCAGGATAAGATTTATTTAGTGTACAAAATAATATCTATAAAAGCCAGAAGTACTTTGATTTGTTTTGATGACATTTACCAAAGCAGTTATGTCCAAATTTGTGTCACATTCAATATGCTTTACTCCATCAACACAGTTACCTATTTCTACAGTAAGGGGAAAAAAAAGAATCACACAAAGGCACTTGGATTATGTTTCAGCTTTCCAAAATAACATCATTTCATGCTACTATTGTATAACCACAAACTGATACTTCTAAATTACACTCCTCTCATTTATAACCTATTATAAATATATAATGGAAAGCGGCAAGTAACAATAGGTAACATTTTAATAATACCTACAGTATCTGTGACCAAATGGGTGCTGGTGCAGTGAACTGCAATCCAATATAAATTTCTCACTTTGTCATGTATTAATAAGTAGCATCCTAAACCGTGAGAGTTAATATATTATTATTACTGTAAGTGTAAAGGAGTGTGTTTTTTCTTTGTTTGACTAAACAACAGTGGCCAGTAATAAACATGGATGTAAGCTCATTCTGCTCAACTCTTGATTGATAATGTTGTTTTTTTTTTACTCTAATCTGTTGCTTGAATTTTACGTCACATAGTTCTAGTGGACATACTGATAACTGATAATTAATATTTAAAAAAAACAAAACATTCTGATATGTTTTATTTGCTGAACATTCAATATACTGAATTTGAGAAATGAATTATCTCCAGCCCCATAGATTAAGTTTAGATAAAGGGGATTTACAAACATTAGTCATTGTGGTACTTATGCCAATTGCAGAACGTTGGAGTTCCACAGTCACTCACAGGGTGGCACTGGTGCCTCACACGCCCAGCACTGGGAAGGTGAACCCCACCTTTGCTCTATGTTTGCAGAGACTGCACATGTTGTGGGGGGTTTTTTCTGGGTATTCTAGCATCCTACTGCAGTCCAGCATCCTAAACTGTCCACATCGTGAGCTTGTGTGTTAATGTGTGCAATATCTGCAAGACACTCAGGGTGTTTCCATGTCCTATACTGCCTAGAATAGGCTTCAGGCTCCCTCATCGCCTGGTACTAAACAGGTTAATTCATTAGTAATTTATTTTACTTAAAGATTGGTTAAGTCTATAACAACATATATGTTCATACAATTGTTGCAGTAAGAAATGCAGCACAGTTGACTCACTGAACTAAAGTTTATTCAAAAACGTATGGGGTTTGATTTGTTTGTGTAATGATAAAAATGTTGTCACTCCGAAATAGTAGTATGTACTACTATCGCCAGGTGGTGGCAGTGTTTCCCGTGTTTGGAATGTGTCTCGGTTTATTCATATGAGTGATTTCAGATCTTTAGCCTAAAAACGGATATTCTAAAACTGACTATGTGGTTAAAACACATAAAATGCCCATGTGGCTGATTAACGGTTCCAATAGAGCATTGCCTATTTAAATCATCTGTGTGTGCTCCAGTGCTTCAATGAATTACAAAGGATTAGCATGTTAAAATAAGCCTTCGTGAATATATGTGATTAAATGCGTGGATGTGTATTAATGGAAAATGTGCCTCTTCTCCCAGAGAAAAAGACAGGCCGGATTGTAGTTTAGGACCCAGCGATTCAAATGGGGCGGTGGGCGGTGGCTTCTTGTGATTGACAGGAAACCAGAGCGCAGGCTACGACGATCGAGTATACTACAGCCATAACGCCGAGTGTCACTGTGATCACCGGGGGGGGAAATAACAATAAGTAAAAAAAAAATACTGCATGAAACTGTCTGATCAGTTCTGCGTCTACAAGCGCCCGGTAAAAGGAGCAAACGATGCGTTTCCATCCCTGATTGTCGCTTTACCGTCGTTCCCGCAGAGCCGATAATGCTTAAGATGAGGCTGCCCATGAGAACGGCGGAGGAAGGAGGCGACGAGACGGCCGAAGACGAGCAGGACCACGCCAACCCCGGTCTTCATAGCCCCGGCTCTGTGGATCAGACGGCTACCGGCGTAACAGAGGACTCCCCTAGGCAGCTGGGGTGCTCCCTGTTGAATAAGGAGGCTGTGTTCGAGTGGTTCGGCTTGCACCTGAATCCGGCCAAGCGAATCGAGTTCATGTGCGGGCTGCTCCATATGTGCCAGCCGCTGGAGCTGCGCTTCCTCGGCTCCTGTCTGGAGGACTTGGCGAGAAAGGACTTCCACGTCCTGCGAGACTTCGAAATGAAGGCGAACAGTCCGAGCGAGCTGGGCCTGCTGACGGACGTCGCTGACCCGGTGGTCAGGTCCAGGCTGCTCGTCTGCCTGTCCCTCCTGGGCTCCGAGAACCGGGAATGTGCTGGAATACTGTTTCGCATCCTGAGCCATGCGGACCCTGCCTTGTGCTTTAGAAACCACGGCTTCCCCGCGTCTTCCTACCGGGACCCGCGGCACCCCCGGCTCCATCCTTCCTGTGGGGATGCAGACGAGCCGGGGAAGTCGGAGAGGTTATCGGGGCCTCTGTCAGAGGCGGGGGCTGGGCTGCTGGAGCAGTTCGCGCTGCTCTTCACCATGGCCTCCCTGCACCCGGCGTTCCCTTTTCACCAGAGGGAGACCGTCCGGGTCCAACTGGAAAAAGTGGAGCTGGCGATAAGAGAAGAGGAGCAACTACGACGACGCGGTGCCGACAGCCCGGTAACCGACCGACCCGTGCGAGTCGCTGGGGGCTGACTAGCGGTTCTTGTTTAACTGCCCCCATTTGACACGTGAACGTTGAGATGGTGGAAGAAATAAATTCTGGTGTCGTTTGAAAACGACTCGTATGTAACAGCGTTTTGCTGGTTTCTGTGGTTCGGGTTACGCGGTTGACGTCAGCCGGCGAGCTCGCGAGCCGGTTAGTAAAAACCTCCGAGTCCGTGAGCCGCTCGTGGTTGATCCGTTAGCCGGCCAGCTATCCTCCGTGTCCGCTGTCCAGAACCGGCTCCGTCTGGTCCTCTCTGTACACATACGGTACGAAACGCTCCCAATAAGAAGACAAATGGTATAGATTTAAATTTCTGGGAAAAACTCCTTTCGGCTAAATGTTCTGAGTAGTTAGCCAGCTTGCTAATTTCAAGGCGGACGACGGTCAAGCTAGATATTTTAACTAGCTAGTTAGCTTAGTCTTTAGATATAATGGTCAGATCGCCATCTAGGTCATTTCCAGCTAATATAGGTATTTTCCGATAAGTGGTTTGTAGATAAGACTTCGACTGATCTGTTAGCTGCCGTCGTCTCAACCCGAATGGGGTGAAATGTGTCGATAACTACCGCCCCCGGTTATAAAAGTGTGCAGTCGAATAGTTTCTCGCTTATGCTAATATAGGCATTTCGTCTTAGGCCTTTTTGTACCTTGGTTGGGTAATTTGCTAAGGGATGTAACGGCACAGCGCCTGGGTACTGGTTAGCGGAGGAGGGGAAGGGGAGCCCCCTAGGAGGAGTGCCCGGCGGGGTCAGAAATGGGTATCCCCCAGCCCCCTCGGCCAAGTGAGTCAGACAGCGGGCTGCCGCTGCTGGCTGTAACGCCAGCGTCATGGTTAAGCCCTTATCAGCGTCAGCCCAATTGGTTCGGGCGGAACGGAGCTGTGAAGCGGAGAAGGCCATCTAGCGCATGTCCATCCTGACTTTACGGAATCACAATCATGATTCATGGCCTGTTGAAATCTGGAAAATAATTTTCCTGCCTTTTATTTATGCCTTTGTCAGCGTTTCTGAAATTGAAATGTACATGCTTAAAGCAGTGGTAGCCCTTCTGGAGATTACATTTTTTGTCGCTTTTTAGTGACAGTAATGACTGATTTGGTTTTGCAGCATATATTACATGATTTTCATTAGCTTCCAACATAATTTACACAGACACACACATCTCACCAACTGCTGTAAATTTGGAAGTACTACATTTTATAAGATATTCCTGGTCAAACAAATAATGTAATTAGTGGAAACACCAGTTATATAGATGATGTTTTCACAAGTCGCACAGTGGGTCATTTTATGGTGTTCGGACATGATTTTGTGTGTCTGTCTGTCTGTGTATGTGTGTGTATGTAAACAAACTCTGCTGAAGGGAAATGTTTTGAGAGCCAGAGTAGCAGTGCGTAAAAATCTGACGCACTCTATGGAATTCTTGCACATCAGATGCTCTATTCCCTGGCTCGTGTTTGGTTTGGCTGTGGGTTGAGGGGAACACTGGCGTTCGTTGACCTTCATGGTCTTGTTTGGAGCACATCTCTCACTGCTTGCTGAAGGGAAGGCATTTCTGCAAAATCTAAAGTATGTACAAGACATATGTGATGGATATATGGATATCCAATTTATGGTATACCATCATTTATTAGTTGCTTTCTAAAATAAATATTGGTTTCCATCTGGCATGTTCTTTAATTGACAGACCTTTTTCAGACCTCATCAGCAGAAACATCTATCCATAAAAATATTTAAAAACTTTTTGTATTTTTCCTTGGTCTTCTCACTTGATAATGTCCTGGTTTTCTTATTGACACATGCACATGCTATTCTGTTAGTTAAAATCTAATAACTAGTATAAAGTATGCATAATAATATTTTGTTACTCATTTTGTTATTGAAAGCATGGCAGAGTAGTTTAATCACAGGCAGTTTCTTTAGTTGTACAACTGCTAAATAAACTTGGTCTATTCAGTGGGAAATCCTCATTTTAAATCTGATTGCCAACAGATTTGCTTTGGCATGAGAATTAAATGCACTCTGAAATATTAACGAAAGAGCAGACTAGCAGTGTTTTTTCATTTATTTTCTGTGTTTCTCAAGGCATGACCTTCCATCACCTTTTCTAGTTTAACTACAATCTCCATACCTTCTCTGAGCATGTCAAAAAAGTGGAACAAGGATGACGTTCCTGCTTTTACCTGTTTTCAATGACTATGAACATGGCACATGTGTGTTGTCAGACAAGCAGTCCTTTCTTCTAAGTGGAACTAATCCCTTCGTTGCTGTATCATCTAATCTTCTCAAGCTAAAGTCACAGTCAGTTCACTGTGTAGATGTTTGCATTGGATACACCCCCCCTCTGTGAATCGACTGTGGAGAAGGCTTTTCCATCCATTGACTGTAAATCTGTGCTATAGGGCTTTGGAGACAGGAATACGTTTCATTTAGTACAAACTGACGTATATATGATAATTACACAGAGTGGGGAGTATGTATAAACATCTGTGGAAGCTATTCTGTTTGGAAGAACCGTTCTGGAAAGCCTTGCTTATGTAGTTGAATTGCTGTTCACCCCTCAAATCTGTGTATTGGTATTGATAGAAATGTATAAATGGTAATTTAAGCAATTTTTTTTTTATTGCATTGGCAGTTGTGGGACACCAGGGCTTTAGATAACAGGTGTACCATCTGTCCAGACGCTGGCTTTTTGGTACTATGCGGACGTTTACTTACGCCCCCAATTTGATCAGCGGATTAATAGTACTTCTACAATATTAATGAGTGGCATATTGTGACACCCAAAAGTTAGCAATCTGTATAAATAGAGCATATCCTTATGTTTAATAAACGTGTCTGAATTTTGGTTGTCACAATATGCCTCATTTTAGGCATACTATTAATCTGCTTATCAGATTGGGGGCATAAGTAAACATCTGTATTTTACCAAAAGTCCGGCGTCCGGATAGATTGGTATGCCCGTTATCTAAAGCTCTTGGAGACAGAGGCCAATCCCAGTCAGATGAATATGAATTGCTCATGTGTTAGAAAAACATTGCCCAATAGCAGAATATGCATAATTGGTAGAGATTTGTTTGCATCTTTCTTCACTTATTTGTACTAGTGCAGTAAAGAATCTGGATGCAACTGATATTTCTTAGCTTATGTATTTGTTATGAAAACAAGTTATATTTTACACCAAAGTTAGGAATCAGCAAAACATGGATAAAATCCACCAATTATGAAAGCTTGGGGTATTTTCTGTACTGGAGCTGCAAATTGCATAGTTACTACTATCATTCATATATTAGTCCATAAAGTTTCTGTAATGTAAGATTTTGTATTGAACAGACATTACAATATCTGATCTTCATTAGCGTTCAACTGTAATGCTAGCAATACACCTAAACATAATTTTCCAGCTGAAATCTGTCAAGGAAGTAAGTACATTCAACTGAATGAGAATTTGAAAGGTTTAGTAAGGTAACACACATGAAGACACACTTTTTAGCAGTTAAAACGGTTTGGTATGTTAGTGTACCTATATTTTCATGAAAATGTACTTGATCCCCTCTGACAGACATTGCTTCATGTGAATTTATTCCAAATGTGTTAATATCAGGGTTACACCAATATGGATCGTCTTGATTGATGTTAATAGCAGGAGTTTCTTTACCAGTCTTGTTTGTGACTAATTAAGACCTGCCCAATTGTTTTAGTAGTACGTAGTTAGAAAGTGGTGTAGCAACCATATCTCAGATAGACAGCCCAAGCCTTTAACCGACATCTCTCAAAGAATTGTCTTTGTATAAATATTTTCATTTTGAATAGAGAGAAAACATTTCTTTGCAAATCTTGCAGATCTAGGTTGTGACATCTACAGTGACCAGTAGATGACAGAGCTTCTGCAGGCCAACCAATCACTGTTCATAAACTTTCTCCCTGAATTCAAATATGCTTAATTCTTGCATGGCCTTTATGTAGGTCACTAGACTCTAGTCTTTTCTGATAGATGTTCTTAAAGGTACTGGTTTAATTACATTTCTAGCATTTTGAGTAAAATTATGGACCACTTAGTTTCCAGAAAATATTTGTAATACTGCTTTATTGTCTTTTTCTGTGCTGTTTACTGCACACGTGTTCAAGTGCAAACATCTCAGGATTCCTGCCAGGTATCTTTTAGGGTGTTTGAATAGAGTCACCCCTTGATTACTTCTGGGTCATTCCATGTCATTCATCACACTTTCGGACTTCATCGTCACGGATTTTAATGAAACTTGGCATGCTGATTTGGTCACATGAGTAACTGAAATTGGGCATGTCTTGGATGAATATTGAGGGAGATGTAAGCGAACAAAGTTTTAACTTTTTTGGGGCGTGACTATGACTTTGACTGGCTATATCTACCTTAATATAAACTGCACAGAAATGGTAGTCATATTGTTTTAAAGCTATTGTCCAGCTCTATAGATTGAATAAATAATATGCCATTCCCATATGAATAATTACTATGTAATAACTGATTAAATTATTAAAAATTCAATAACAAAAAACCTATGTTTTTTTACTAAAGCTAGATCATAATGTCATGAACATCTCCAGAAAATTTGGTCTTTGGTTTTTGAGTGGTTGCTGAGATACCATTACTTATGTGAAATGTGTATCAAAACCACAGTTCCTTTCAATGCTGTTAGCAGTTAGTGATCAATGCATGGTACAGGGTTATTATTTTTCATGACAACTACAACTATTGCCAGAACTAGCTGTGGAAATATAATTTAAATTAAAAAGGTTTAATTGTTTTAATATAGGTTTTTTTTGTTATTGAATTTTTAATATTTAAATCAGTTATTACACAGTAATTATTCATATGGGGACTAGGGCATATTATTTATTCAATCTATAGAGCTGGACAATAGTTTTAAAACAATATGAGGACCATTTCTGTGCATCTTATATTAAGGTAAATATAGCCAGTCAAAGTCATAGTGCCCCCCCCCCCAAGAAAGTTAAAAGTTTGTCTGATTAAATCTCCCTCAATATTGATCCAAGACACGCCTCAATATCAGTTTCATGAGTTACTCATGTGACCAAATCAGCATGCCAAGTTTTGTTAAAATCCGTTTTGATGAGATCCGAAAGTGTGATGATCTGACATGGAATGACCCTTCTTTGAGCTTCCTAGCAGAGAAGTCTTAATAGCAGGAAAATGTCTGTTCATTTGTCTCCCTCCCTACCATTGGTCAGAAGTCAAATTCCAAGCTCCACAATTTGAAACGTGTTTTAGGTTTTTTGGTATCTGTCAAAAATGCAATTCTACAAGATTTGTGCCTGGTTGCTTCTAACTGAGGGTGAATGTAATATGTACTCAACACGTTCATGAGAGCAACCTGTCACAGAGTGGTCTGTCTAATTACTATTTCAGCTCTTATAAAGACCACAATAGAACCAAATCCGCAAAACCTCACCACCACTTTCCTGCCAGCCTCATGAAGAATTACGTGCCATATTCAAGGCAGCTCTTGGCCAGTGTATTGCTGTTTTGACAACTGGCAAATAAGCCGATTATAGGAGGACTAGGGTCTGTGTAAACCATGCAACAAACTCTACAGTACCAGGAGCTGAGCTTCTCCAGTGTACTAAAAATCTCTTTTGAGTTTATGGAAATACATTTTGTGTGTCTTCCTGCTTACAGCACATGAGCAAAACATATTGTATCATTTTTAATCTTTTGTTTAGGGTGGGAGGAAAAATATCAGATTCTAAAGAACCTCACCTTCGCCACCAAATTGGTTGTTTTTTTATGAAGTGCTTATTGTCTTTGTGAGAACACCATTGATTTTTGTTTTGGTTTCAAATGCTCTTGGCTCTCCTGATAGTGGGTTATGCCGCACTCTGGTCTTGGTCTTGCTGTCTTGCTTTTTGACTTAGACTTCAGGTTAAAAGTGTAAGTCACATCATTACCCATGGAGGAAAAACACTAACTGAGGATAAACTCCAACAAATATGTGACAGAATTTTATCCTCTATATTTTGTCATCTGTATTGCACCCCCCCCCCCCAAAAAAAAAATAAACTGGAACCTGAGTTAGCAATTCCTTTAAAGAGATGCCAGTGTGAGTAACATTTTAAGTCCTGCTGAGTAAATGAGGTAGGAGTAAATAGGACCAGACTAGCATCCCTTCACCCAGCTAACGTGACTTGGCTTACTTGCCATACGGTAAGGTTTGGGTCACAAACATCTAAATTATTTGACTGGAAGATTTTCAACCCTGGAATTGTTATGATGATGCCCAAAAAATAATGTAATCCCAATTCACTGGGGAGAAGTTAATGTTTTATGACCATGGAAAAGTTGTTCCCTTAAAATGCCAGGTTCATGTGTTATGGCCTTGCTCATATTACACATGCAAAATAGTTTAGTGTCTGTTTTCCATCACTTTAAAATGTGTGACATTTTTCCATTAAGAGTACAGAAGTAAAATGGATTTTCAGAACTTTATTGTGTTTTGTGCTCCAGGTAACTTTGCTACAATGATCAATATATGAAACATAGTTTCAGACAGATTTTGGTGTTTATTGACTCTTTATTTTTATAGTGTGATGTTGCCATGTTCTTTTGCAAGAAATCATTCTGATGTTTGTCAGAGGCATTGTGTGCTGATGGCTTTTCAGCTCACACTGTGATGACTGCTCCAGGTGTCTTTGACGTGAAGGTTTACCACTCAGCACAGACTGGGCACCTTCTTTCCATGAACTGCATGGAGACCATCCATCCTCCTGGCTTGGAGAGTTTTCTCCACAGTGGCACCTCCTTTCCTGGTGGTTGTACTCCAGCTGCGGAAGTTAAAATTCGTGGCTCTCTTTAAGACTTGACTGTTCATTGTTAATGTCATTTATTAATTTGTTTGTAAAATCGGTATTTCATTTAGGTCCATTATTTGCTTTGGGTACAAAATGCATGCTTATGCAAAAAGCTATCTAAAAATGTATTTAAGCAAGCAGTTTTGTATGCAGATTGCTTAGGGACTGTTTAGTTTTATTTTATTTGCATAACTCACTTCAGAAGCTCAACTATCATTAAGCTTCTCAGATTATTTTTAAGTGATTTATATTATCATGCCTCACACTGGGAAAACCCTCCTTATCAATGTAACCCCTTACCAAACAGATTTTAGATGTGCACCTACATCAAAATATGAAATCACCCAAATTCGGTGGATGTGTATTGTTACTGACAAAGCTAGCTTTTTAAGTGTGTAATATTGCTGTGAAGGTATCTGTGTTTAAGTTGTTCTCAAACCAGGAGGATTTTGCCTGGAAGAGGTTGGAAGTGTAAAAAGTTATGTTTATGGAAACATCTATAGATATGTCATGGTTTTAATCAGAGTGTGTTTATAAAGATCTTTGAGTGTTTTTGTTGCATGATGGTTAGCAGTTTCAGGAAGGGCTGGATGATATATCGATAAAATATTGTATTGTGATTATGAACTTTAACATCGTGATTGATTTCAGTATTGTGAGTATCATGGTATAGCCAAAACACTTATTTTCTTACATAATTATGTAAAACATAACTATGCACAATTTTTTATACAAATTCCATCAAGGTATGATGTTGTTGGTGTAATTTATCATTGTACGTGTAACATGGTCCATAACTATTTGTGAATCAATTTGATCATCATAATCAGCAAAACTCAAAAGTAGCAGTCATATTTGACTTAATGGCAAAGGTTCCACGTACAAATTTTTAGTGCATATCGCCCAGCCCTACTTTCATGTGGCTGACTTCTTTGGGATTTTTCTTTCTGTTAAATCAACAATAGACCATTATTTTCCTTAATTCAGATTTAGAATATGTTTTCTAGTCTAACCTAGCTTCTGATTTTATAAACAATGTTTATAAATCCAGTGTTTTTAATTCACGCTTTTCTCTCCATTTTCTTCTGTCTTTGGTTCTTTTCCCTGTTTGCTGTAGAACAAAATTCCACAAACAGGTGACTTCTCCCCCAGCACTGACACCAGCCCAAATAACAGAGCACAATGTCGCCACTCGACCCAGTCTGCAGCCAAGAAGTCTCAGAGGGAAGGTAAGACTCGGATAGTCACTCTAACCAAACTGAAGAGCATAGCTAGTGAAGCCCTTCTATTCTCATATCTCAGTGGGAGAAAGTTTCAGTAAATAATACTTCTGCAATAAAAAGGCAATGGTATGATTTTTATGTGGCACCTAAATGTAAATTATGGGATTGTGTTAAAGAGTACAGAGTTGTCACTATACTTTGTGCTCAAATCCAGCTCTTCTGCTTTTGTGGCTTTTCAGCTGTATATATCGAAAAGATCTTGCTGAAGGGAATCTCGTGGAGCAGGACAGACAAGGAGTACAGTTTTGAGGTATGTGGCTTTTTCAGAGCTGCACAGTGTCATCCAGTGCGAG